GCATCTCCCAAAGCAGACCTCGGTTAGTTTTAAATGACTCTGAGACTTCTCCTTGTATCCACACTTTACATTTAACAATATATTTAATAATAAATAGGTCCTGTTGAGTTTACCTATTAGCTTTATTAGTATTTTTCCATCACACTGAACTCCACTCATTTCGTTAATACTGTTTTAATTCTATTACTTACATTTACATCCTAATAACTCTATAATACTGAGTCTAACTACCTAAAACTACCACTCTCTTTTATGTTTTATAACACTAGATTGAATGTCATCAAATATAAAATAGGGGTCTGTCATATTTTTCAATTAACAAGTAAAAATATTTATAAGATAGTAATTGGGCCAAGAGTAACTAATTTTCCAGCAGATCTATATAAAGAAGGTAGTTCGAATATCACTGGCAGTGGCATCACAGCAGCCTCGAAAAGAAATATGAATACAGCAGTCCCTCCCCAGCGATTGGAATACTTGCACCATACATAAAAAGGGAGATATATCTCAATACCCACATCACAGAAGAACTACTCTCCTTCATACTCCGTGCTGTTGCATGGCACATAATGATAGTGAATAATAGGAAACTAAGGCTTATGAGGCTATCTAAATTTTGACAACTCATTAAATATTGCAACCTTTAGGTAAAAAGTAGGTACATATAATACAATACATTAAATTAAAAGTTAATATGCTATTGATAGTGATTTGTGGCTAATGAACATAGTTTTGAAGCCAAATCTCTCTGCATACTGTCACACACACAATTAACAATATCTTAATTATATTAACTTCATTAATTTTACATATAGTATTTATGCATGAAAATATACTCTTATGCATGAAAAAAGTACTCTTTATTGAGTCCCAACAAGCTGCACATATAAACCAAATTTTTATTTATTTTTTATTATTATTTATATTACCTACAGATGCAAACAAGTTTTAAAATGTACATAGACCTGGGCAAAAATAGTAAAATTAAATTATCATCTCTAAGGAAGATGGAGAAAAGTTGTCAAGAAATGTATGGGATATAGTTTAATAATATACACACATCAATAATAATTAATAAAAATCAATAATATACACATGGAATCACCCAGTATTTCCGATTTTGTAAAGTATTACTAAATTTTTTTTAATGAAAAATGAACTACATTTTATACTAAACCAGCTAAATTACTATAAAAAAAAATCAAAAAAATGTTACAAATACATTAAATTAACAAAAACACGAACAAATGAAAACATTGCAATGGTTGACTAAAAAAAGATACAGTCTTGTTGTTCATTTTAATAGTCAGTGTTACCACCTCTAGCTCTAATACAAGCTTCAATCTGACGGGGAATGCTTCTAATCAAAGCATCAACTTGTTCTTGAGGTAAGTTTGCCCATTCTTTGCGTTTCATCTTCAGTTTTCAGAAAGTCTGTGGATCAAAGTCTATTATTACCATTATTGCTTCATTATGGTTATCTGGCCACATTATATATTGAGGCATTAATAATAAGATTGCTGACACAATTTCTTTAAAAATACACTATGGGCTGTACTCTTGGCTATATTGAACCTGCCGCCACAGGCTACAAACGATTCTGGTTTAGCTAAAACCCAGGTGGTGAACAGAACTTTTTTTATCTAAAGGAATTGTAGCTCCAATGGGTATAACTCCTAAATTTCCTAGTTGCCGGGTAATTACCTAAAACATTTATATGTAGTTTTCAAAGAACTAATAATCTTTACTAAAACCTACTTCAGCACATTCCCTACTCATGCGAAAATGCTTTAATCGCCTATTAAAAAGATCTCCCATATATTGGGGAATGGTTTCCTCATAAAAATTTTGATTAGGAGGAACTTGAGCTCTCTCAGCATTATTCAGCTCTAATTCTTCAGTTTGTGCCAACTGATCCACAAACATTTTCAATTAGCTGGATATTATTTTCCTTGTCCGCTAGTAATGTGACGTAAAGTTTAATAATATTTAAAAGTCAAGCTAAATTGGCAATCTAAAACATAATCAAAATATTTAATTTTAAAATGACAAATTATTTGACATTGACAGATAAGGTAGCGGTAGCGGAATCCAGCAGGTTTTGACTTATGACGTTTGGTCCAGCGCTTTACGATGGATTCGGAAGTAGCGGAGCGGTAGCTGCTCCGTCTGCTGAACGCGCCCATTGATGACATTGACAACTAGAAGTATATAGAAGAGCATAGATAAAATTATACCTAGATTGGTAACAGGGATAGGCAATGTCAAATCACGTTCGGAGTTAGGCGCCCATACGCCCATTCGTATGGTGGCGCTGCTAGTCTATTTTCTACGCGGAGGGAGTGTGCTGTGGTCAAATCAAAAGTTGAATTTAGACAAATACGGCGCCATATTTGTATTTATTTTATTTTTATAATTTATTTTATAGTTTAAATTTTTTTATATAAGTAGTGCAAAAAGGTAAAATTTTAGACGATTTTTTATTATGGAATCGAACACATTACATGGAATAACAATGTAGAGACGAAGAACTGAACAAAAAAGATGTATTCCAAATTGCATGGATACTAGGCAAGCATTAGATATGTTTGATAAATGGGTGAATGCTGTTAGAAGCCCTAATTAGAGAATGCTGCAACAGAAACTATTTATAACAATTTTCGTGTATGCGCTAGTCATTTTAAAGAGGATGATATAATTAATGTTGGACACACCGCTATTACGAGAACAGCCCTTCTGAGTTTGTTTTTACCAGCACCAGGTAAGAACTATTATGCCAATATATGTATGTATGTGACCTTTTACTTATAAAATTGGTTAATTATAAATTTAACCTAAAATTATATATTATAAAATCAGTCTTACTTGCTTACTATTTTAATTATTTTGTAGGTGGTGGTTCAACAACTATCTTAACAATCATCACCTTAGAGAGGGTTCGACATAATTTCTACAGGTGTGCGCCTTTCAAAGTTGGATTAGATTAGCAGACCATGACTACACTATCATATTGAAGAGGTCTATGAGCTTGCCTGTTAAGTGCGAGGAGGAATCTGTCTCTCTCTTGTAAGTGAGATTGGTCTTAGAGTACCATATTACCATGGTTTGTCTCATCTATGTACTTACTTTTAATGTTCCATTTTGTAGAACAACCTAAATCTAAATGTATTTTAATATGTCTCTCAATAATTATATAAATATTAGTAGAAAAGAGTTACTGGTAACATAGAGTTTGGAAACATAACTTTGTAAAATACTTCATGTTTTTATTGTAACTAGGTAATACATATTTTTTTATTTTTAATGTTATTTTTCCATCTTTATACTGCTGGATCTTAGAATCTTAGAGCTAACTGTTGGGTTTATAGGTTTTAATATGACTAAAATATTATCATATAAATGTATATAAAGTTCTTTCTAGAACTAAATCATTTAATTTTTCTGTTTCCAACTTAGTAGAGACCTTGAGTTCTGTCCTTTTCTGGGAGTAGAATGCCAGGCAGTAAGAGTTCCTACTGGCCGCTGGTAGTGTGTGTTATTAAATTAGGATGTAAGTACTACAAAGAACTCAGAATGTCTGACGGCTATATGTTGCTTATTAGGCTTTAATTTGACATTAGAATTCCAAAAGAATTATTTAATTACTGACAAGTTCTTGTCATAACATTAAGAACACTAAATTATACTACATTTACCTGTCCCTATTTGTGAACAAAATATTGCAACTATCTTGGTTTATTTTTAGCTCCAGCTGATTTACAGCTAGATTGAAAATCTGAATTTTCCAATCTTGGTTCATAATTATCATCAGGTTTTTGAACAGGTAAATTTTCTGTCACATCTGGCATTGATTTAGTAGTGGAATTCTCTAATGTGTTATTTGGACTTCATCTTCATCATTAGTGTGATTCAATAATATAACAATGCAATAGTAAACTTCTTATATAGTACAGAGCTCCTGGTAAAGAAGTTTTTCATTTAGTTATGTCTAAATATTTGGTTTTCAATGCTAGATTCACCAATTTCTATATAACTCATTGTATCTTTCAACTTAACCATTTCCTTCATGGTTATATGGTGTTGTTCTACTTGAAATATTCCTTTAGAGTGTAGATAATTAATAAATTCTTGTGAAGTAAAGCTAGTTCTCCTTGTCAGATTTTATATATGCCAGCATTCTATATAAACAAAATAGTGATTTAATCTGTGATTGGTTTGAATTGCTTTCCTACCAGATAATGCCTGCATTTTTTTAATACTTCAACGCATTTGCATGTTTTCATTCTGAATGTGTGAGAGTATGTGTGAAAAAAAGCAATTGGTTTTCCCCATTGATTGCTTCGCTTATGTAATTATAGACTAAATTTATTACAAGCATGCTTATCTTTCTAGGGATTTATCTTTAGATTAATTGCCTTCTAAAAAAATCTTGAATGTTCTATACCACTGTTTGAATTATTTGCGAATTATGAGAATAAAATTGTAGTAAAAGGCCTTTTGCAGAATTAGGCTTCTATTTACATAAAACTTGACATACTAAGACAAAACAATTATTTAAATACTGACCAGTTCTTGCCACAACATTAAGAAAACTAAATTATAGTACACTTGGCTTGTATTATTAATATTTCTTGTAACACACTTGGCTTGTATTATTAACATTTTTTGTAACACATATAACATTTCTTGTAATATTTTTATAAATAAAGATTTTATTCTATATTTTATTCTTTAATTTTTTTAACCACTGGCATTTTAATGTAATGTAAAATAAATATAGTCTCAACATAACAAGAAAACCCAAAAAGTATACGAAAAATATTTATTATCGTATAAGATAAGGATTTTTCTTGTTATTTTAGGATTATATCGATTTTCCTTTACTTTAAAATGAGTTCACAATCCTAAGTAATATTACTAAACTTTTGAATTTCGCGCCATGTATATATAGTTAGGCGCCCGGTCACTAGGTGATGCGCCAATCATTGTTTTACTCGTCAACACGGAAGTTTCATTGCTAGGTGGTAGTGTGCTATGATAGAAGAGGGAGGATATGTGGATGCGATGTTTAGGTGTTTAAAATTTGTACGTGTAGTTTCGTAGTTTAAAAACAAACAAGATGTTGCACCTAAGAAAAGATGTATTATTGACTTTGTTTATTTATTTAATTCATGGATTTCAAGAAATCCACGGTAAGACTTAATTTATTTTTTTTTAAACATAAACCTCAAAGATTATCTTTTGTAGCTTCTTCACAAAAGTATGTAACATGTGGCTCGGTGGTAAAACTTTTAAATACAGATTATAGAGTAAGACTACATTCGCATGATGTAAAGTATGGAACAGGTAGTGGACAGCAATCAGTTACCGGAACTGAAGTTCAAGAAGATATTAACAGTCATTGGTTGGTAAAACCAGCTACTGGAAAAGCTTAGAAAGAGGAACACCGATTAAATGTGGTTCGACCATAAGATTGGAGCATGTAGATACCAAAAAGAATTTACATTCCCATCATTTTTCTAGTCCTTTGAGTAGTAATCAGGAAATTAGTTGCTATGGAGACAATGGGGAAGGTGATTCTGGAGATAACTGGATGGTTATATGTTCAGGTAATTTATTAATTAGTATGAAAATAGGAGAAGGGCCAGTGTTTTAATGACTTAAAGAAAGTGTGAATTATGTTAAAAAACTAAAAAAGTTGAAAAGTTTCTTAATCATATCACATATAATAATAAAATTATAAATACCAATATAATTTAAATGATATGTTACATTATTTAAATATAACTAACAAAACTATGTTGAAGTAACAGCCAAGATTGGTCTTCATTGTCTAGGATGCTAATTGAAGGGGTCAGAAGCAAAACCTCTTAAGTAGCAAAATACACATTTTGAGAAATAAAGCATCAAAGTTTTTGCTTCTTTAAAAATTCTGGATGTTTAAAATTAAAAATTTTCAATTTGAAAACAATTCAAAATAAGTATAACATTTTAAACATACTTCTGGTTAGAAATTTTTTTATTTTTTTCCTCTTTTGACAAAAAAATGCACTTAGGTTGTTTTACCTTTAAACAAAAATGGCTTTAAAGTACACAAAAAGAACTAAACAAAAGCTTAATTTTCAATTATTATTTATTTTTTCTTAAAAAAAAACACAAATTTTACTCTTTTATAACACTAGAGTTACTCATAATCTAAGAAAAAATCTATGTAGTCGTCTTGTTCGTCGTTGGCATTTTCTTTGGAAGACTTAAAAGCAGTGCTTTCTTTTTTCATTGTGTTTTTTTGCTGCTTTGACTCATGCGGCAAATCGTTATAAAATTTGAATAAATGAACTTTGATAAAATGAAAGGCAGATATATTGAGCACAGTTTTATTAACCTCTTTAGGGACGAATTAATTCTTTGAATAATAAAAAGTCCAATATTTTTCTATATTTTAATTATTAACATCCAGATACATGAAAAATTGCAAAAAAAATATTGTCAAATTTGACATTGTAAAAGTCAAAAACGAAAACGTACATATATGTTGCCAATGGGCGAATGATCTATTGATGAAACGATTCCATGCACTCTGGGCAGACACTCTCCTGACACTGCTTGCATCTATATCTTGTTCTGCGTTTGCAATTTCTGTCATGACATCTTGGTGGATTTTTGTAGTCCATTTTCATTGAATAATGTCCCAATCCATTCAAGCGAACTTCAGGTGCAACTTTTGTCCACGTCTTTTTCTTTTTTGGAGCAGAATTTTCGGATGAGGGTCTTCCTCGTTTTCTTGCATTTCCATTTAACTCAATTAAAGTTGAAGCAATAGATGCTTTAAATTCTAGTAAAGATATTTTTGATGATTTGGCTTCTCTGAACAACAACCAAGCATTTATAATTGCAACATTCATGAAATGAAAAACAATTCTCAGATAGAACTTCTTGTTTTTGATGGCATGTGGATAATGAGCAATCATTCTATCTGATAAATCTACGCCACCCATGAACCGATTGTACTAAATAATAGCCTGTGGCCTTTGAACCTCAATGTAAGTCTTTGTTTTCCTATCCCATCTTCTTACAGTATCTTGAGGATCCCTACCAGCGAAAGATGAAATCATATGAACAAGGTTATTGTCTGCCCATCGTAGCACTGTAATGTTGTTTTCAGATGTTTTCACGGAACATGAACCTCTACCTTTTTTCTTAAGAATCATACCATCCGTCAGTTTTTCGCTAGCTTTGTGTATTCTGTTAGCCCTGACAGTTCCTACTACATGTATATCTGCATCTTTTAGGTAGATGACTAATGGTATAGACCTTCTAATCCTGAACACAGCCTCACAACTGTATCACCAATGATACCCAATTCTGATTTATTTTGATTTTTTGAGGACTGGTACATCTCAAATTTTGATACATAGCCATTTGCTGACGCTCGTACCCATACTTTAAATCCCCATTTCTTGGGTTTAGATTTAATATACTGCTTATTTCTACTTCTTCTTTTGAATAGAATTATCATTTCATCAATAGCTATATACTCGGTTGGTGTTGCAGCATCAGCAAATGTTCTACTTGGTAAATCAAGAAAATCTCAGAAATTTTATGGTTATTGTTGAAGTGTAAATATCTTTTTATTTCTTCATATCTTTTTAGGGACATAGTGTTAGCAATTTGATAAAAACTCAGACCTGGAACGGATGACCAATACATCCGATAGGCAGGGTATTTTATGTATGTCATCATGATGTTGATAGCAAAAAATTTTTTCATTTCAGCAATGCTAACCGAAAATGAATGTTTTCCAGATTGAAGCGCATAACGAATTGTTTCTGTAGTAATTAGCTCGAAAATTTCATCAGAAAATAGTTTCACAAAGAAGGAATATGGCGTATCGCCATTTATATTGACTTGATAGTTACCTCGAAAAATTGGTGGATTGTTTATAAAGGCATTATCCTTTTCTGAATACCAGATTTCGGAACTCTGTATTGGTACAGGAGGCTCAGATGACAATACTGAACCTGTTGCCCTCTTCTTACTGTATTTTTGTTATTGTTCTGAAGCTATTTTCTTGTGGCATTGTAAATTAATTACTATTTATAACTGGGAATAAGCCACATTAAAGATAAAAATACATTTATTGACGTTTCAATTTCCAATTCGGAAATCGTTCTCAAAATACAAATAGTACTATTTGTATTTTGAGAACGATTTCCGAATTGGAAATTGAAACGTCAATAAATGTATTTTTATCTTTAATGTGGCTTATTCCCAGTTATAAATAGTAATGTATTTTTGTTGTCTGCATCTTAAAGCCAGAGGAATGTCATCATAGTCACTATCAGTATCAGATCATTTGATTCGGAAAGTTCTTCCATGGTATCTCTGTTATTTGGCAATTCCAATAAGGAATCCAATTCTTCTTCTGATTGGTCATCATTCTCAATTTCAATTTCCTCCAAATCTGAATTGTTTGGATTTTGCACAGAACTTAGAATGGTTACTTTCTCTGTTTTTCTGCTATAAAATGATGATGTAGGTATCTCTCTAAACATGCTGCCTTATTCTAAAATGAAAATAAAAAACAAAATTATTTTGACATTTCTGCACCACGTACACAAATGTGTACGGTTATTTTCACGTAATTTGCTCAAGACACCAAAATAATATATTTGATTTTATTGTACGATCTTGTATATTAGATATTTATTCTGTACTCACCAATTTTTGTTGCACAAAATTATGTCAAATTAAAAAAATACAGTGCCTGGACTTCTTCTCATAACCTCAAAACACCGTCAAGGAGACACGTGAATATAAAAATACGACGAGGTACAAAAGTCAAGCGATTTTGATCTCTATTTCGCTGTAACTTGAGAGGGGGATTGTAGACGTCCACAACGGTTGAGGCTACGTAAATGAGAACCAAGTTTAAAGTATTGTTACAATATTTTAAACGAAACGTACACAAATGTGTTTATGTCCTTGAAGAGGTTAATTAAATCTTGCCCAAGTACTTTCGCTTCCTAAAGCATCTTCAGGGGCATTTCGTCAATTTTGGGCTATCCAACTAGTGCAGAATCCCATAACCATAACCATAAAATTAAACATAACATTGTACATAACACACTAAACAAGGAAAAACAGTTTAAAATTATTTAAAAAATTAGTCGAAGCTACATTCTGTTGCTCTCCTGTTGTTGACCAGAATGAAGCTTTGACTAATTTTTTAAATAATATTAAACTGTTTGTCCTTGTTTAGTGTAGTGTTATGTACAATTTTATGTTTAATTTTATGTTTATGACATTCTGCGCCTCTTGGATAGCCCAAAATTGACGAAATACCTCTGAAGATGCTTTAGGAAGCGAAAGTACTTGGGCAAGAATTAATTAATAAAACTGTGCTCGATATATGCCTTTTTTTATCAAAGTTCATTATAAAATTAATGGTATATGGGAGGTGTAAACTCTAGCAGCTGTTGTAAATTTTCCCGTTTTTGACACTTAACTTGTCTCATATTTCTTTTTTTTTTTTCGTCTTCAGTTGTTGATGAGATTAAGTTTACCAATAGATTGCATTTATTACAAGTGTATGAATGAGTATGTTGAATTTATGCTGTCGTTATCTTCTTCATATTCACTCTGAATAAAATCAGATTATCCATCTGTAGCGTATGGATCACTACCTAACTCTAAAAATAATATAACCTTAACATTATTGAACTAATAGTTTCTTATTATACGTTTTTTCCAAACATTATTATAACTTAACTGACTCAAAAAACATTATCCAAATATTATAATGACAAAATATATCATTTCTGCAAACAATAGTATCACTTAAAACATTGCTATTAATCTACTAAAGAAATATAACCTACACACCATAAACAAATCCAAACCGTTGAGTGGAACCCAAACAACGTAAGTAATAAAAATATATTTATAATTATTGAATTTATTTCATGTAAAATGAAATAAGTAAATTTCATTTTACATTAATATCACAAAAAAAGTAAAATTTTCAAAATTCTTTTGGAAAAAAAATTGTAGGCCACTCTTGCACTAACATTATATAAAATAAAAAAAATAAAGTGCATTTTTGCATAAAATTTATTTTTACCATACTTGTATACAAAAAGTGAACAAAAACCAAAACAATACCCTTAACTAATTTTTTTATAAATGTTTATTCCATCGTTTGTTCAGAATCTTCTATATAGTGTAAAACACCTTATCTTCTCCATCATCATTATTTTGTATACATTGATATACATTTTTAACATTTAGATTGTTATAAAAGTTATATAAATAAGGTGGTACATACACTAACAAATCTTGTAAATTGCTAAATTTAGCTGCTTCAATATCTCTGGCTTTTGGGTATAAAAGTAGAAGTTTTCCAATAAATGTAGATGTATTGCGCTTCATAATGTCTATATGTTTAAAAATAATCTCAGGATTGTTAGATTCTTTATAATACAATTGTAATGGTTCAGTTAAAGAGTATCGCATCCATTGCATTTTTAACCAGTTTACTGATTCGCCCTTGACAGTCTTTTTACGAATAGTAATGGTTTTCTATTTAAAAGACACTAATAACAAAAGAAAA